AGTGAATAAGAATATTGCCATAATTTCTATGGCAATCGCGCTCATTCGCGCTTGTTTCAAAATTAAATTTAATAATGCAAACCGAAACGCTGAAATTTCATTAGGAAACAAGGTGATATATATATACATATATATATATTTTTTTTTTGGTCGCCCAGTCCAAAATTGCAAGCAAAAGTTATCGGGGATGGCTGGGGGCTACTGCTAACTGTGTGTGTATGTATGTGTGCTGAGTGTGTGTGTGTGGTTTATTGATAAGTTTGCTGGTTGCTGCCCGCAGCGCTTGATTAGATTTTAGCCAGCTAACCAATTCTACGTTGTTGCTCTGCTGCTGCACTCCATATGTGAGAAATGAAAACCACAGCCCAAACAACAACAACAACAGCAAGAGCCACAACGACAACAAGTAGTGGGCATGTGGGCGTGGCGGCATCGGGCGTTACATTATTTTTGTGAAAATTTGTTAAATATGCCAAACACGCAGCGATGCATGCAAAGTGGCCAACCAGCCAGGCCAACCATTCAACCTTCATCTCTCTCTCTCTCTCGCTCGCTCGCTCGCCCTCATTTCTCCCTTAAGTTTTTCATTTGAAGCTCCCCCCAGCATCCAGCCCGGAACCATCCAACCAGTGGCAAAAACGCAGCCAGGCCGAGGCTAACCAGCCGTGGCATTGCGTACGACGCGCTCACTCGCTCGCTTTGCAGCTCGCTGCTCATATTTGTGACATAAATAAGCTAAGCCCCGGTTCCGGAACCTACTCATTCCCCACCCATCCAGCCATGCACCCTCTTGCCTCGACAGCAGGCAAATATGACCCGCTTACATACGGAATCAACAATTGCGAATAGAGTCGCACCTGCCGCACAGTGGCAACATTTTCCATTTTCATGCGCATAAATTTTGCGCGAATTGGTGGGGAAAGTATTGCTAAAAATTATAAAGTAGGGATTTATTTGTTAATGTTAAATATTTAAAAAAAAAAAAAAAGCTTGTCTAGATTCTGAACTATACTAAATTAAAAATGAAAAGTATAAACTCAGATTAAATTAAAATGACTATATTCCAAATGATTTATTTTTAACATATAAATTTATAATTATTGTTCAATTAAAA